TTTTCTTACTTCTTTCCCCTAGTTTCTCTTATTCCAGCATTCATTTACATTTTGATGATTTCATTTACACATTTGAAGATATTTATTGATCATTTTTTATGTGTCAGGCACTATTTCAGGTGCTGGGGGCACAGTGGTAAGCAAGATCTGAGTGAATTATATGATGTTTAGCCAACTCCTTTGGAAATTGAATTTTTTAAAATTTGGTTATCATCCAATACACGAATATACAGTCTGCTCATCAAAAGGAAGATTCTTTTTTTGTTATGTCTATAAGCCACATGAACACTGCCCAAAGCTTTTGCAAGGAAGTGAAAATAGCAACCACTTTTAGGAGGCTTATGCTTGTACCAGTTCTAAGTACATTACATATATTAATCAATTTAATCTTCCCAATGACCCTCTGAGCTGGGTCATTATAATCATCTCCATTTTACAGATGAGAAAATAGAGGCCCATTTTAGGTGACTTCTCCAAAGTGAATCAGTGGTGGAGCTGGCCTCGAACCCAGGCCATCTGGCTCCAGATTGCCTTTCTCCAACCCCGGAGGGACTGAGCCTTAAGGTTTGCTTCTGACATAACGGAATTTAGAGCAGCAGGAGGCAAGTAGAGGCATTTCTTGGAAAAAGAATTGTGTTCCACAGATAGCTGGCAATAAATATTGCTGATTGGTTGACTGATAAGGATGGAATGGGGTTTGGGGAATTTCATACTCTCATGAAATAAACATGGGATTTTGACCTTCCAGAAGTGACAGAAACTATTCAAACTATTCCGTTTTTGTCTTTTCTCCCATTTCAGCCATCACTTTAAGACTGTGCTGTCCTGGCAGAATCTTGCTCAAAATTGGCTATGGCTTTCCAAGGGCTAAATAAATGCTCAGACACGTACAACCTGGGACACAGGAATACATTTACCTTTGGGAATATCAAAAAGACCGTTTGTTTGTTCATAAAGGATATAGCATTTTGCCCAAAACCCCCTAACCCTTTTTTTTTTGTGGATGTAGATACTGAAAGGTTAAATAAGATTTGCCCAAAGCCACAGAACCAATTAACATCTTCTATAGGAGCCTAATCAAACTATTCCTCAAGATGGGAAAACTCCCGTGTCTTGAATCCCCTGCCCATTATGCATATTAGAAAGAGTAGTCCCCCGACCACAGCATCGGCAACAGCTGGCAGCCTGTCAGAAATGCAGAATCTCAGGTCCCACCCCACACATCAACTTGCAATTTATCAAGACCCTCAGGTAATCCACATGAATATTAAAGTTGGAGAAGCACTGGAATGATCACTAATTCCATTTTCTAGATATTTCAATTACAGAGAGGAGTGTTGCTAACACTATATTAGTTACAAATACATCAGTCTCTTGAAAGGTATATTCTCAGCCTCATCTCATAATCTAGCTCAAAATCATCTTCCTGATGCAAAAAATCTTCAGATTGTTTTTATGGTAGATTTACACCTTTTAAGACCCAGGTATTCCTTGGTGAGCATATATGAAGGCTATTGATGTACAGAACTGTTTCTCATGAGATCCACAAAGAAAGGGCTAATAGCCCCCCATCTGTACAATGACTCACACTGGTGTCCTTTCTTCAGAGCAGGTTAATTACCTTTCCTAATTGCAGCAAATCCATTTAGCATAGATAGCAAACAAATCTCAACCAAGCTTCTGCCAAAGTTCACACAAAATAATCAAAATAATAACACCTACTACTTATGTGGTGCTTACAATGCGTTTGGTGTTATTTTGAGAGCTTAATGTATAAAAACTCACTTAATCCTCACAGGAACAATATTTGGTGGATGAAAAAACCGAGGCACAGAGAGGTTAAATAGCTTGCTCAAGGCCACACAGCTAGTTCATGGTAGGGATTCTAAGCCAGGCAATCTGTCTCCAGAGTCCATGCTGGTAACCTCTGCACCACACTGTCTCTTGAAATCCAAACTAACGCTTTCCAGGGTGCACAGAGGCCCTTATTATTAAAATGCTCTCATAATAAATACTGATAACTTACTTAGGAGAATATAATTCTCTTGAGAGATTTTACTCAACAACAAAAAGAAATAATAGAGGCCAGAAGCTCCTAAGACACTATTTTACAAAGTTAAAACATTACCTCTTGTCTCTAGTTCTTGGTTGCAATTGCAAGAGCACATGGTCTGCTGCTTAGAAGTGCTTTAAAATGTCCTTCTGCCTGTAACTGGAAATGGCTCCAACCTCAGAATTGCACTGTGTTTTCTATAAATGAGAAGCAGTTGTAAACTCTAAAGATCCGTGATATTGCTGGCTTCGCTTATCTATTAAATCACCGGTTGGATTTCTCCTGTTAGCTGCAGACAGCTCAACTCTTTTACTAAATGAAATCTTATTGACAATTCCAATATACCCGACCAGCACAGTCTTGTGCTCTGGTTGAAGTGGAGTGAGGGAACCTGACCCCCACCATCCACCTCACTACCCTCTGAAGGCATGTGCTAGAAACCTAGAGTCCTGGAAACATGGAATGAAAAACACCATATGAAACGGAGTGAGCTGCTTCTCATCTGCATCAATTCAGCTCCCTCTAGACCTCTCTTCCTGATGCTACACCCGACGATGTCCTCTGGCCTTACACCAGGAAGACCCCACAGGATCTCAACTCTCCTCCGCAGAGCTGAAGGGAAGGAAACTTTTCACAAACAGTTGAAAAGAACACTGCCCAGTACTTAGTGAACCAGAAAAACGTCACAGAAGGGTCGTTTCCAAATGCAAAGTAAGCAATAGACCTGCCAGGGGTGTGGACAGCAGGTAGATATGCTTAATGGGCCACGAGCTATTTTTTTTTTCTTGAATCACTTCTGTTGGCACTGGAAACACAAAGCAAAATAGTCCATACACCTAGACATGGTACAGGTGAAGAACTGTGGTTGTCTCATCTCAGTTAGAATGGCTATTATCAGCAAGACAGAAAATAAATGCTGGCCAGGATGCAGAGAAAGCGGAACTCTCCTACCCTGCTGGTGGGAATGTGAGTTGGTTCAGTCATTGTGGAAAACAGTATGGAGGTGCCCCGGAGAACTAAAACTAGATCTACCTTACACTGTCCCACTACTGGCTATATACCCAAAAGAAATGAAATCAATATATCAAAAAGACACCCGCACTCCCATGTTCATGGCAGCACTACTCACAATAGCCAAGAGATGGAATCAACCTAAACGCACATCAGTGGATGAATGGATTAAAACTCTGTGGTATATCTACACAATGGAATACTACTCAGCTATAAAAAGAAATGACATCCCCTCATTTGCAGCAACATGGATGGAAATGGAAACCACCATGTTAACTGAAGTAAGTCAGACACCAGAAAGACAAATTCTGCATAGTCTTTCAAATGTGCAATCTAAAAATTTTTTTAAAAGTGGTTCTCATAGAAATAGAGAGTAGAATAATGGTTACCAGAGGCTGGGAGGGGAAGGAGTTAGGGAAGAGGAGAGGTGATGGACTAACGGGTACATAGGTATGCTGTCCACCCTAAGTGAATCATTGTGCAGTATATGCATGTATTGAAACAACACACTGGACCCCACAAATATGTACAAGTAAATGTTAAAATAAGAAGGAAAGAAAGAAAAGAAAAGAAAAGGAAAGGAAAGAAAGAAAGAAACAAACAAACTATGGTTATAGTGCAGGAAATACAAAAATGGGTAAGTCACAATCAACAATTATGACCAATCTGTTAACCATGTAACGCATCCCATGGAGTGGTTGGTTATTAGTCACTGCCAAGCCATTATCCTTGTAGGTGCACATAAAGAAAATAAAATTTACATAAGTTAGTACTCAAAATAGTTTTAAGTGCTAGTTGCCCACTGGGAGAATGGCAGAGTAGCTCCCAATATCTTGATGCTCTCAACGCCAGGTGCCATGTGTAGTAACCAATGTCGGGCCCCTCCCAGATCCTCTCAGATCTCTCTTAGCCATGTCAGTGCCACCCCCACCACAAAGTTAACTGCCATAACCAAGGATTGTTGGGTAGGGGAGCATGAAAGCCCAGCTCCCTTGCCTGGGGTGGGTCAGGACAAGTCTGAGGCTTATTGATCCTTCAGAGTCCCCTGTGGGATCAGGCTAAAGCCACCTGCTTCAGGACTTTGCCTGATGTGGCATCCTTGCTTGGCTTCCTCCCATTCCCTGTCCTGGTTCCTTTTACTGTTCCCTAGGAGCACTTCCTTGAAAATCCTTATTTCAGGATCTGCTTCCAGAAGCCCCACCTAAGACAGCATACCACCCAGGTTGCCATTACCTCAAATTGGTTGGTACAAGGAATCTTAGCCTTTCTGGGAACAGTTCTGGTGTGCAATTAACACAGTACTTGCCACCCCCTTTCCTCCCACAAATATGTTCATAATTTTTAGCTTAAATTGATCTTGTTTGATCAAATAGGTGGGACCCTAAACCTAAATAGTATAAAGTGTCAGTTGAGAAGAATGGACAGAGAATGTTGTGTATGAGTTAAATAAATAGTCGAGTTAACTACAAAAAATAACCTGTCTATATTGTAGTAGTGTGCTTTCCTTAATAGGTTGGGCATAAACGATTTACATAAATTTTTGCAGAGTCGAGTTGGTCTTGCTTTCGGATTATTTGTTTCTTAAAAGCAGCGATCATGCAGTACCAAGGAGCTATAATTCAAAGCATAAAATTGCACTGAGTGAAAGGAATTAGGCTAAATCTGCACACATATTAAGACATACCTTGAAAAGTGCTTTTTGACCTGATTCTTTACATGAGCTTGCTTTCTTGTAATTCTTCTAACTCTATGGGTTTGTGTGCAGCAAAAAATTTCTGGGTTCTTTTAGGTTGCGCTTATTCTGGCACATGTGAGGCAAGTCCACCCCATGGGAAATGAACTATAATAAACCCAGTGAGTGGTGATGAGCCAGAAGGGGCCAGCCTTATGTCACTGCATAGTTCAGGTTGCACAGACACACAAAAGCATGACCTACCTTTATTCCCAGGGCTTCTCCAGAAATAACAGCAATTGTCACACCATCCTTACTGGGCTTGGGGATTTCTTCACTTTTCAGCTCCTGATACTGGGGTTCTACCATCTTCTCTGAGCTCCTCAAATTAACCCACAGTTGCAGGCCATGGGCTGGCTCCTCTGAGCAAGGCATCTCAGCGTGCAGAATGCCCCTGCCTGCGGTCATCCACTGCAAACACCAAATCAACAAGAAGGGAAATGTAATGTAGCCCTTCACAAGTCTGCACGTGGCACGATTACAACACTGTCACTAAGTGAGGGATCTTATAGATGCTGCTGTCAGAGCCCTGGTGTCCCGAGGAATAACAAACATCAAAGCCAGTTGCTGGAGCCCTTGCCAGTTTTCCAAAGGCTTCCTAAGATTCCTCATTTGAAATCAACACATCAGAACTGGAATTCCTTTAAGTGGAAGAACCCTCTCTTTGATATCCCTGAATCACAGATTGAGCTTTAAGATGGGGCAGATAGTATATTGGGGTGTGCTCTCAGGAGATATAACTTAAGAAATTAAAAAAGCAGGACTGGACAGAGGGAAAAGCCATCCAGCAATGCAGTTACAACAGAGGCCCTATCCAATCCAACAGAGAACTCTGGATTTGGGATAAAACTTCAGAATTGTCTCAACTTCAGGCAAGGTGGTCAAGCTTTATAGTCCCACATCATCAAACCGTTGACTGTGGGCCACACCCAGGTGGGAAGCACAGCCTTGGGAGAGGCGTTTCCCACTGCAGGGGGTGGCTCCGTGGGAAGGATGCAGATGGACACATGTGTGGGTCCACATATACCTGCCAAGGCCCCCAGGATCCGCTACACTGTAGATGGCTGACTTGCATCTCTGCTTGCTCAGTTCCAGCAATGGAGCCCTCAGTACTTGGAGAAATAGTTTACCACCTCCACAGTTGTGCAGATTCTTCAAGCATTTGTTTATTTCTTTATTAAGAGTGGATTAGAAGCCCACCCTAGACACTAATCTTGGAATCTGGGGATGAAGAAGTAGAACATAATAGATACGTTTCCTGCCTGTCTTAGCTCAGATTCTCCCGCAGAAGATACTGAGACAAGGACTCACGTGCTGGTAGTTTATTTGGCAAGTGATGCAGAAAACATAAGTGAGGGAGTAGGGAAGAGTGAGACAGGCAAGGGAGAAAGCCCAAGCGGCATGTTAATGAGCAGGTTCCATCTGTGGACACGTGGGGCTCCATCCTCCTGGGAACCTGTAGATGTACTTTAGAACTATGGCACAGAGGACAGGGAAAGTGAGGGTATTTAGACTCCAACTCCCATCCCGCACTGACCATAGGGGTGTTAAATCCCCAACATACCCGGGCTGCCCAGTACCTGGGCTGGAGAAAGCCCTCAGGCAGAGTGGCAGCACCTGAGACAGGGGGCTGGGTACACAGATGGGGCCCGTCACCACCTGAACTCAGAGGTTGCCAAGGGGCTTTGAGGCAGGCCATCAACAGCACCTTCCACATGTCCCTCATGGGGCAAAAAAATCCTTTAAAAAGTGCACAAATAATGATTGCCATCACAATTGTGCTTGGCACTGTGAAGAATGGCAGGTTTCTATAAGGGCACATGAGGTGGCCTGCTTAGGTCAAGACAGCTCACCGGAGGGTGCGACCTTTAGGCTGAGATCCCAACGAGGAGTAAGAATGGGCCAGGGAAGGGGAGCAGGAAGAGGATTCCATAGAAAGGGAGCACCACGTGAAAAGGAGCCCAAGGCAAGGCTGAGCATCGTCAGTTTAAGGATCTGAAAGAAGGCCAGTACATATTTTAGAGATTTCTTTCTTCCACTAAGTCTAAATAGATTTCCCTCTATTTTCCACTGGATAAGGCTGATTAAACCTTTTACTGTAGGAGTCGGCAAACTACAGCCCAAGGGCCAAAACTAGCCTGCCGCCTGTTTTTGTGAAGGTTTATTGGCACACAGACATGCCCATTCATTGACACACTGTCTTTCGTGCTACACTGGAAGAGCTGAGTAGCTGTGACAGAGACCAGACCATATGGGCTGCAAAGCCTATCTGGCCGTGATAGAAAAAAATATGCCGACCCCCACTTTAATGCAACATAAAGTAGATCTCAACACCCTCCCATGCTGCATTTCTTCTGTCTGACAATAGCTACTGGTGTTCCTCAAAGACATCCTCCCATTTTTAAGCATTTTCCTGTTCTGTTAACAGTTCATCTCTCCTTATTTTCAATACCTTGGTTATCCTTTTTAGACATAACCTAGTTTAGCAATACCTTTCTTAAATGGCCTGCCCATTAGATTGGGTAAGGGAGAACAGGGTTTTCTTTCCATCCTCACCATTTACTACCTCTGAGGCCAGGGGCATCTTTTTATCTTCTTCCTTTTTGATTTTTATTTATTTTTTCTCTTGACATCTTTAAATCCCCACTCCCTCATTTTTTAAATGAGATAAAAATAATAATTATCTCAAAGTGATCATGTCTATGAGAATGCTGAATAAACTGGAAGACACACCATCCTGAGTAAATGTGAAATGACAATGGTAGGAGCAGCACTGGCCAGCCCCTCACAGGTACAGCTGCAGAGGTGGCATGATGGTGCAGATGGCAGAAGTCACCACGTCTGTGATCATGACACACCCAGTCATCACATCTAGCTTTCTAGGCAGTCACCATTTCATTTCTGCTCCAGTGAGAGGTTACTGCTGACTTTTCGCCATGGCCCCTTTTGCTTTTCTGTCTTTAAATTTCATGTTCACTGAAACACCATGATTCATATATGTGCATTTATCATTCCACAAAATATAAGAATGATCCCAAAAAGTACCTTACAAAACTGGCAAAGATGACTCAAGCACTTCCTGTGGATTTTAATTGTAACATATCTCAGACAAGATAGGATGGTGAAGGAGTTTTAGTCACTGTCCTATGTGATAACACCTAACACTGCAAATGAGTTGGAAGATAAGCAGTAAATTGTCTCAAATGCAGCAGAGAGGTCTAGAAAGATGAGGACCAAAACAGTCACTGAATTTGGCAATTGGGACGTCACAAGTGATCATTACCTGAACGGCTTCAGTAAAGGTTTAGAAGGGGGGTGCTGAGAGGCCAACCCTGATTTCAGTGAGTGGAGGACAAAGTGGAAGATAAGGAAGTTGAAACAGTCACTCTTGATTATTCTTTTGAGAAATATAAAAAAAAAAGCCTAAGTGGGAGCTAGAAAGTTATTGAGGGGTCAAGGAAAGTATGAGAGGAAAACAGAGACCTGTGCAGGTTTCCAGGCTGAGTGGAAGGATCCATAGAAAGGGAAAGGTCAAAGGTATAACAGAGAGAGAGCGGAAAGGGTGAATGTACTGGAAGTGGACAGAATCCAGCATGCACACCCAAAGACTACTAAACTATCAGCAAGTCCCTGTCCTCGGCCATACCTGCAGGTCTCCCGGATTCATTTTACCAACGTGTCCACAGAAGTCTTCATGGGCCATGCTGCCCCCTTCCAGGAGGTAAGATACCTTTAAAAACACAAACAAAACCAAAAGTTAGTTCTTTGCCCATTATTTAATTGGATTATCTGGGTTTTGTTTGTTTACTTTTTGCTATTGACTTGTATGAGTTCCTTATATATTTTGGATATTAACCCCTTATTGAATAATATGATTTGCAAACATTTTCTCCCATTTCTTGGGTTGCCTTTTCATTTGAAAAAAGGGCCAAGTGTTCCGAATAGACATTTTCCCAAGGAAGACATACAAATGGCCAAAAGGTATATGAAAAGGTGCTTGACATCACTAATCATCAGGGATATATACACAGTGGAATATTATTCAGCCTTAAAAAGGGAGATCTTGTTATCTGCAACAACATGGATGAAACTGGAGGACATTATGCTAAGTTAAGTAAGCCAGAAACAGAGGGACAAATACTGCATTGTCTCACTTACAGAAACAGAGAGTAGAAGTGTAGTTACCACAGGTTATCAGGAGGTGGGGGAAATGGGGAGATGTTGGTAAAAGGGTACAAAATTGCAGTTATAAGATGAATAAGTTCTGGAAACCCCATGTATAGCCTAGTGACTAGAGTTAATAATAATGTATTGTATACTTGAAATTTGCTAAGAGTAGATGCTCAGTATTCTCACCACACACACAAAAAGGCAACTATATGACGTAATGGATATGTTAACCAGCTTGACTGTGGTGATCATTCCATAGTGTATACATATATCAAAATGTCATGGTGTACACCTTAAATATATACAATTTTTATTTTTCAGTTATACCTCAATAAAACTTTAAAAAAAGAAAAAGAAAAAATAGGAGTCAAGTAGCTGTGAGGAGGACAGGCAGGTACTTAACTCACACCTGTGCACAAGATAAAGCGTCTCAGAGGAAGTGAGACCTACAGAAGAGGTGGAAGTAAGCCAGGAAAAAAAAAAAAGATGGTAGTGACGGTGTATTCCAGGCATACGTGGAGGCCCAGAAGTGAGAAAGAACAGGACTTGTTCAAGAAATGAGAATGGCGGGCCAGCCTGGTGGCGCACTGCTACAGTGCGCCGCTTGGGAGCGTGGCGGCGCTCCCGCCGAAGGTTCGGATCCCACATACAGACTGGTTCCCGCTCACTGGCTGAGCGAGGTGCGGGTGCAACACCGAGGGTTGTGATCTCGTTGCTGGTCCCGGTCCAGTACGGGCGCGACACTGAGGGTTGCGATCCGTTGCCGGACACGAAAAAAGACAAAAAGGAAAAAAAAAAAAGAAATGAGAATGGTAACAGATGAGCCTAGAAGAGATAAAACCAATCATAGTGTTGTACTGGATTTATCCGTGACCTTGGTCTCCCACAGCCATATCCTGACCTATACCATGTGACCAGTGCTCCATCAACTGCAGCGGAACCTTCCACAAAGTGTTATGGAGAACCTGTGCTCCCCTTTTGGATATTTCCTTCTACGTGGATGGTACTCCATTAACGTTAACATACCCTGCCTCTTGCTGTATCTCACCCACCCCTCTGTAGGGGGAAAAGAACAACTTAATCTGACTGGGGGGGTTGAAAGAAGAAACTGAGCTTGCAGAGCTGAACCCCCTTCTCTCCCCTTCCTTTTAGGATTCAGCCTGCCCACGGAAAACAAGTGTCCTCTTTCACTCTTTGCCTCTGTGGCAGGGGCCAGCCCCCATGGCCATGGCCTGCAGGGGTCCAGCACAGCTAGTGAGATCTGAGTAAGTCTGCCTAATTTTTAGGTGCAGTATTCAGAAGCCCACCTGCCTGAAGATTTAAGCTACCTTCTCCAATATCAGCTATATCAGAAATAAAGGTATTTTTTGTTTGTCATCTTTCTTACTCTTTCATTTTATCAATTGGTCGAGAGTTCTGGCTGGAAGCACAGATCATTATTTATTATGCTTCCTCATACTTCAGACTAAGGGCGTTGAAGAGCTGGTACTGATATAAGAGGAGAGGGTCTGGGGAGGCTTCATAGCCAGCCTCAACCCACCCCATCTTCTAGCAGGTTGTTGACTCTTTCACAGGAAAGAATTCAAGAGCAGAGTCACAGTACAAAGTGAAAACAGGTTTAATGTAACAGATAAGTACATAGGCGTCACATAGAAAGTGCAGCTTAGCTCCAGAGACTGCACAGGGCCTGCACCAAGTTTAACACAAAAGTAAGAGATGCACCCTTAACGTTTAGTACAAAGTATACGCTGGCTCAAGAGCGTGAGCAGCTGCCCATTAGCAATGAGTTTAACACAGAAGTAAAACATACCCACCTCTGCCGGCAAGGTGCAGGTTGGCCTCAGGAAAGTGAGCAACCAATTGCAGCAAGTTCAATGCAAAAGTAAGAAATACACATTAACAGACAAAGAGCAGGTTGGCTCTAGAGTGAACAGCAGCCTGCCGAAAGAAAGTTTGATACAAAAATAAATACGCATCTCAGGCAAAGTGTGGACTGGCTCTAGAGAGAGGGAGCAGCAGCCCCGCCTTCTACTGGGATTTGACTTTTATAGTTTTGATATCTAATACTTATTCATGTTGTCTAATGAATATTTAACTAAGGGGGTGGTTTCCAGTTATGTAAGATAGTCTTGCACATGCTCAGTTGGTCTGTTTTAGAGCATGTTCACTGATTAAATTCCATCACGTGCGTGGTACACACTTAGAATATTTTCAGTGCTCTCTATCGCTTCCAGTGGAAGGTCATTCAAAGGATAAACTACCCTCTACTGAGCATGCTCAGCCATTGGAGTGATACAAATCCACCCCTTCTGGTCTCAATTTCCCCATGTTGGTGCTGAAAATAGGTACAATTGGCAACAGTAACTCTCTTATAGGGGAAGGCCCAGAGGAGGGGCCTGAGACCCTGTAGAATGGCTTGAATCAGAGTGTCCTGAAACCCGAACCCAGGGAAACTGAGCACCTCCTATCTCAGTACTATCATGCTGTTGAAGTCTTACATTGTGCATTGCTTCTTGAGCTACCTTTATGGAGTGCCAGTTCTTGAAAGTAAATAATCACAGTGCACTTACTACAGTGCACATCAGGGCTGGCTGACATGAGGACTCCCCAGGTTTCATCCTGAAGAGTAATGCCATTGAGTTACACCATGCACAGAATGGCCTAGGTAGAACCTTTACCCCAGCAGATGACAGGCAGATGGCTACAGAAATTGGAGCCTCTAGGTTTCCAGGCTAAAACCTCTGCCTGGGAACTTGCTATGGTAATGACAACAGTGCAACATTGGCACAGGAAGAGAAGGGACCCGTTTTTTATGGGAAATTAATATTTGATAACGGCAATTTCAAATCAGTGGGGCAAGGATGCATTTTCCAATAAATGGTATTGAAACAATTGACCGACCATAGGAGAAAAGAAAGTAAGCCCCTGCTATACATAAAAATGTGTTCCAAATGGATGAAGGATTTAAATGTGAATAATACACTTCTAAGATTTAAATATAAGGAGACAAAAAGATTACAAAATGTCTACACAAAACTATTCTTTGCAATATTTATTATAATAGCAAAAAGACAGGGACAATCTGGATAATGGGTAAATAGAAAACACTTCAGTAAATTATGGTATAGCCATAAGAGAGAATTCTATGCAACTGTTAAAAAGTGATATACATCTCTACTTATTGACACAGACAAATGAAATATTATTTAATCAAAAAAGCAGGTTACAGAAAAGCAATTCTATTTAAAGGGTTCAAACACAACAATGCTCTTAAATGAGTTTATTTAAATAAAATCACATCCCACTGTGTTAGTATGCACTGAGGTGCCCAGATGAACACACCAAAATGTGAACAGCTGTCATCTCCAGATGGTGGAATTGCAGCTATGTTTTAAAATTTTCTTTCCACTTTTCAGGTAGTTTGGATTCTCTGTGATGAGTAATTTTCTTTTTTACAACAGAAATAACTTTTCTGTTTTGGAAAAAAAATAAGATGCTGCCACCAATCAGTAGATAAAAATAAATAGTATGCTTTATTCTGTATAGCTGCTGGTGAATATTCCCCGCTTAGGTGAACTGGGGCTGGATAAGAAAGCAGTGAGACATAAGGTGAAACACTAAGAATCAGAAGAATAACTGCATATTACTGTGAGGACAATGTAGCTCCGACTTGAACACGTGTTACCAGGTGGAAAAGACCTACAATTTTTATAGGCGGCACTCATGTTTAAATAGGAATAAAACACTTAGGATTTAACACAAAGCTTAAAAATTTAAGAGGCAAATAAAAGGCTTCCAAATTTCAAACAACCGGCCAAACTATAAAGAACTGGTGTCTAGAATAGCTTTCTATTTCCTGCTACACATGCATTTTTAATTAAAATAATTGCATGAGAAAGGCAATTTTCATTCTGTTTGGGCTGAAGCTCCTCTTTAGGTTCTCAAAAACGTTCCTTTCAAATCATATTCTTTTCCATCCCCGAATATTTTTCAATTATCCAAGCCTAAGGGCTTTCGAGTTGCTGACCTTCTCACAATATGTCAGGCAACTTTAAAAAGTAAATTGTGGTGAGCATGATTCATTTAAAGATGAAAATTAAAGTGGACATCAAGAGGTTTTATTTTTTCGAATTTGATTTTAGGGAGCAACTTCAACACTGTTTCTAAGAGACTGAGAGACAGTTATCCCCCCTTTTCCTCTACTTTTGCTGTGTGGACATCCTTCTTTCCCTAGTAATAGGTAAATAGACATTATTTCTACTGAAATCTGAATTAGAGAAGTCCAGTCAATGAAGCCTTACCGAATACGTAATACCTACCTTTTACAACTCAAAGCAAAAATCATACTTTTAGCCTTTCAGGTGAAAAATAAAAAATTAAGGAAACCACTGACCTTTTATTTATTATAATTTTTTATCTTATTTATTTATTGTTGCTAAGTGCTGCAAATGCTACACTGAGAACTTACATATAAATTAATGTCTATAGAGAATTTTTTTTTTTTTTAACTCAAACAGTATTTCTGAGAGTTGACACAATCCAGATGATTTTTTAGGACAT